TATATATACACACACAACGGAATATTATGCAGCCATCAAAAAAATAAAATCTTGCCATTTGCAGCAACATGGATGGAACTAGAGGGTATTATGCTAAGTGAAATAAGTCAGTCAGAGAAAGACAATTATCATGTGATCTCACTGATATGTAGAATTTAAGAAACAAGGCAGAGGATCATAGGGGAAGAGAGGAAAAATGAAACAAGATGAAACCAGAGAGGGACACAAACCATAAGAGGCTCTTAATCATAGGAAACAAACTGAGGGTTGCTGGACGGGAAGGATGGGGTAACTGGGTGAGGTGATGGACGTTGGGGAGGGTGTGTTTTAATGAGCACTGGGTATTATAGAAGACTGATGAATCACAGACCTGTACCCCTGAAACAAAAAATACATTATATGTTAAAAAAAATAGTAAAAAAAATTAAGAAAAAATGAATTAAAAAAAAGATTCTGATAGATCTATGGTTCAGAAAGGAGTGTATTGATATAATTGTGTAGCCATGTTGTAATAGATGAGTTTTTGAGATACTTTTTTTTTTATCACTTCTTGGCCTTTTGGCTAAGATCAAGTGTTGAGATATTTACTTATTTTTGAAGTAACATTGGTATTCCCCAGAAAGCCTTTTCCATGCCCTTTGTAAAATGTATCCCTTTAGCAAACAGTAGCCATAATTTTTAGAAAAAAATGTATTTTTATTAGTAAGATTTTATATTACCTTCAACATCTGCCTATCTAAATATAAGTATGTATATTTTTTTTGAAGAGCAAATTTTTTATATGTGGTTATTTAATGTTATTTAAATACTTTAAAGGTTTTTTCAATAATAAGGCTTTAGGGTAATTAAAAAATATAAAAAATGTATAGTGTAAAATGAATTTGAATTTATATAAATACAAATTATCTATACCACGTCTTTTTGTGAATGAGATTTATCTTTAGATTTATCCTTTTCATTCTTTTTCTTCTGTTTTTCCTCTGCTTGTTTTTCAAAATAATCTTTAAGAAGATGGTTCAGCTGTGGTTCATACTGGCTTGCATGTTGTAATCCATCTTCCCTTCCTTAAAAAGATACAAAACATGAGACAACAGTATTTCATAGTGATCCCCTACTATTTTAGTCATCTCCCACAGTGGCAAATCCAGAGCTGTTCCTACCTGAACCACTTCAAGCACTAACTCAAAAGTCAGTTTCAATTCAAAATGCTTGAATTAAACATATTTTTACCTTACCTTCACAGTGTTGGATCACACGTCCCCAGAGTCGATTTTTCCGCAAACAGGATAAATTTCCCACGATCAATAAATGCCTCCTTCCTCTGGTCAATGCAACATTCATTCTTTTTTCTGAATCAATAAATCCTACTTGTCTTGTTCTTACACAGGACAGAATAATGATCTCCTTTTCAGCTCCCTGAAAAGCATCTACTGTGGATACATGCACAGCTTTAATATCAGGATGGTCAAAGTCCACGGCACTGAGTAAATGACAAAGCTATGCAGGAAAGAAGAAAGAGATCATACAGGGTAGGGACTATGAAGAACTTAAGACCTGAACCAATTCACAGCAGCCATTTTTATTTAACTGGTAGTGGATAATTTTCATTTTCATTTTCTTTTTTATGACTCACAAAGATTTGGTAGATAGTTTCTAAAATGATACATAAATAACTAGAGGACAATATAAATTAGGAAACAAAATCAAAAGTGATGATTTATCTATTGCTGGAGAATTCATCTGGATATGCTAATTCAGAGTTGATAAATAATAAAACAGATGAAAAATATTTTTTAAAAAAAGCAAAAACTAGTTAGAAGTAATTGGCTTATGCGTACATTAATATCTGGTATCTATCTTTGATTAATAAAATGAAATGATAATGAAAGTACATTTTGGAAAACAAAGATTGAATCCCATCTGTCTCAAAACACAAAGCATACACTGTATTTTCTTCCCTCTAATTTGTTTATTTGCATTTTTGCCCTAACAGCTGTAAACTGAATTTAATTAAACCTTGTTAGGTTTACATTTAATTATACAGAAAAAAAGCCAGACCAGACAAAAATCAGAATTTTTTTAATGTTAACTATACTCCCAAAAGTTTTTTAAGCACCAAACCAAACCACTACAAATGTAATATTAAATATTATAACATAAAATTATAATATTTAAGTATCATAACATGTAATACAAACCTTGTACATCTGGGATTTGTATAATGTTATCACCCCAATCATAGAGCCCGCTATTCCACTTGCAATCAGTGATTGAATCAGCTTGAGTGTAAAAGCAGCTTCTGCCACATTATGAAAGCTGTTATCTCTTTCAATCTGGAATAAGAAACAGATCCTAAATTATATTTCCCAGAAAGGCTATGGAAAAACCAAGAAAACTATATAAACAACAACAATAAAATTAAACCCGGAAACTAAACCATGCTGACTCTCATTAACATTAATGTCATTTACCTGTTCCAGTCCTTTAACGTTATAGAAACACAGGGTTGGGAGCCATTCCAATAAAGGGCTCCTCTCTGTTTCTGAAATGCCATTCATGAGGTTTCCTTCATAAAACAGATCATTAGAGATAGCACTGATTGCAGGGTGACAACGGTATTGGGTTCTCAACAGAACTGGCTTATGCCCCTAAGAAATTTAAATGCAGAAAAATAAAAAATTAAACCATTTTTTTTCTTAGGGAAAAAAATAATATTTTAAAATTTAAAAGTATCACCATATTGTGCTCTTAGTAAATGAATTACAACCATGAAATAGATTATAAATAGATTGTAAATGAATTACAAACATGAAATAGACTATAAATAAAATTTTTCTAATTACTAAAAATATTTTCATGGTAAACTATTATTATACCACAAAATTATAAAATATAAAACAGGTCAAATCTTCAAATTATTATCTAATAAGTTTGGCACCTAACATTATGCTTTCAGAATCTATGCAGAGTTGGCTTGACACTAAATTGAAAGGGAATCTTCAAAAAAAATTAGAAAGTGTTGTTGATAACTCATTTATTAATTTTCCCCCTTGGGCACAAGCCATCTTTCATTTTGAATCTTCAAAGAAGTTTCCAATTTTGTTAGTGCATCATAAAATCCACATTCCAACTACTTCAGGGCTTTTCTGGAACATGTTCTTTCTTTGCAAAATGTTCTGTAGGACTGTCTGAACATTTTAAATAACTACAAGTTACTCTAATAATAAAAGCACATAGTAAAAGGCAGGATTAATGATCACATAGACAAGGTATTTTTTATGGGAGAAAAACAGTAAGTAAAAAACCAATCCTCAGTACTAATTAGGGCATAAGTTTGTGGATGAGTCTAAGTCAGTGGGCATGTGAAATCTCTGACAAAAATACACAATATGCTCAAAGTACAAAAATGCTCAAAGGCTCTGGGGCACCATGCTGGCTCAGCAGATGGAGCATGTGACTCTTAATCTTGGGGTTGTGAGTTCAAGCCCCAGGTTGGTTGTGGAGCCTACTTTAAAAAAAAAAAAATGCTCAAAGGACCATGATTTAGTACTAGAAAAAATGTTAGAGAAATGACTAAATTATAGTATATCCACATTACGTATTTGGTGATAAAACATATTTATGACAACAGTGATGATTACAAAGCTAGTTAGTAACACAGGGAAATGATTTATTATAATGCAAAGTTTAAAAAAAAAGGCAGGATAGAAACTATATGGTATGATCTCAATTTTGTAAAAAATATATATATTTTTTCCAGCTTTATTGTGATATTATTGACACATAACATTGTATAAGTTGAAGGTGTACCAGGAGTTGATCTGATACACATATATTACAAACTGATTATCACCACAGCATTAGCTAATAGATCTATCACATCACATAGTTACCACATCCTTTTTATAGTAAGAATATTTAACATATACTCTCCTGGCAATTTTCAAATATGTAATATAGTATTATTAACTATAATCACCATGCTGTTAATTAGATCCCCAGAACTTATTCATCCTATAACCAGAAATTTGTACCCTTTGACATCTCCCTTTTCCTACCTCTCTACCTCCCAGTTCCTGGTAACCACAATTCTACTCTTTGTACGAGGTCAGCTTTTTTAGATTCTACATACAAGTGATATATACTATTTGTCTCTCTCGGATTTATTTCACTTAGCGTAATGCTGTCAAGGTACATCCATGTTGTTGCAAATGGCAAGATTTCCTTCTTTTTTATGGCTGCATATTCCAATGTGTGTGTGAGCGCACATGCGTGTGTGCACATATCAAATATACGTATTTTTATAGTTTATATATATACATATATTTGATATAAGCATATACCCCAAAGATAAAAGCTGGAAGGAACAATACTAAAATATTACAAAGGATTTTCTGTTGGGGGCAGTGAGGTTATTATAGATTTTTTATTTTTTTTTTTTACCTTTTAGTTTTATGTAGTTTCCACACTTTCTATCATGATTAGTAGATATTATTTTTATTTCTTTTAATTAATTCTGAACTAGTTCAAATATACAGAAAAGCAAAGAAAATATAATACTCATGTATGTACCACACAGATCTGACATTAGTATTTAGTCATTGTTGCTTCAGATCGCTCTCTTTTTTTTTTTTTTTTAAGATTTTATTTATTTGCGAGAGACAGAATGAGAGACAGAGAGCATGAGAGGGAGAAGCAGACTCCCTGCTGAGCAGGGAGCCCGATGTGGGACTCGATCCCAGGACTCCAGGATCATGACCTGAGCCGAAGGCAGTTGCTTAACCAACTGAGCCACCCAGGCGCCCCAGATCTCTCTTAAGACATAAAATGTGACATATCCAGATACAGCCCCCACCTCATCTATTTCCTCTGCCACCTTCTCCAGAAATAGCTCCAAACTAAATGTATCTTATGGCATTCCCATGCAAGTTCTATATGTTTACTACAGAGGCATGTATCTATGATTAATACATATTATTTGTTATGCTTTTGAAATTCACATAAATTGTATTTTACACTATGTAACCCTTTGCACCTTGCTTCTCTCAATATCCACTATGTTTATGAGAACTGTCTATATGGATCAAGTGAATTCACCTTAACTGTTTTATATATTCCATTTTGTAAATTCTATTCCATTTTATTCTGTGAATAAATCACTTTTAAGTCCTTTATTTGCCCTTTTAAAATTCCCTCTAAAAATCTACTCATATTTTAAAAGTCATCGACAACAAATAAGTGAAAGAGCAAAGAGCATAACAGCATGCATAGTATGCTAGCATTTGTTAAAAGGGGGAAAATATTTTATGTATTTGCTTACACTGGCATAAATTATCACTAGAAGGATACAAGAAAAAGATGACAGTTGCTTTGAGGGACAGAAACTGAGTGGTTGGGGGACAGGAGTGGAAGGTGTCACTCTACTTTTTCGTTCCTCTTAAATTCAAATTCTGAATCATGTGACTATGTTACCTATTGAAAAATGTTTTAAGAACCTAAAGAATTTTTTTAATTAAGATTTTTTAAAAGCCACTGGAAAGGTCTGATTCAAAAGAATCTGGACACTGACATTATGGAAGGGGTAGAAAGTTATGCAATTCAATTCAGTTACAATTAAAAGCTCAAGACAATGAAGCTTGAGTCTTCACAAAATTGAGTACAACTCAACTCAAAACTCAAATCAACTTGAAACTCAGTTTAAGGGGAAACTTCTGAAGAAAGTAGAATAAAACTGCCTTGGAGAATCCATTCTCTAATATCTAAAGGAACAACAAAATACTAAAATAACAAAATATTAAAAACAGCAAAGAAAAAATTCAGTAGCCATGCAACAAAGAAAGGTTTATAGCCAACCCAATGTCATAAACTTTAAAAAAGTACTTGTCACCAAGAAAGAAACAAAATTTTAAGTGAAAGGGAGAAATACAGTACAGATCTTCCTTGACTTATGATGGGGTAGCATCCTGATAAACCCATCATAAGTTGAAAATATCGTAAGTCAAAATGTATTTAATACAATCCTAAAGAAACAAACTAATTTTCTAAGTAGTAACATTAAAGAATAAACTAAAAGCAGCAAAGAACAAATAGGATTTCTTCATAAAACTCACTGTAACCTAACTCAAAACTCTATGCAACTTCCAACTCAACGTAAGGGGAACAGACATAGTAGAAAAGGCTTCACAGGTAATGAGGATGAAATTAAAGTAACATAAATGGAAGACAGATGAAGATACCCAATATAAGAATAACTGGGGGACCTCTGTTTTAGACTGAATGTGTCCCCCACCCAATTCCTATGTTGCAGCCCTAAACCCCAAAGTGATGGTATTTGGAGGTGGGGCCTTTGGAAGGTAATTAGTTTTGGTGAGGTCATGAGGATGAGGTCCTCATGATAAGATTAGTCTCCTTATACGAAGAGGAAGAGGCCAGAGTTTTCTCTCCACCATGTGAGGATACAGCCAAGAAGAGAGTTCTTATCAGGAACCAAATCTGAAGGTACCTTGACCTTGGCCTTCCCAGCCTCCAGAACTGTGAGAAATAAATCTGTTGGTTAAGCCATCCAATATGTGGTATTTTGTTATAGCAGGCTGCACAGACAAGCTACTGATAGAGAATTCCACAGGTAGAAAAAAAGCTTTCCTGAAACAAAGAAAAAAAAGAATCTCCACTTTGAGAGAACTTATATTACAGAATAATTAGTTACAGAAAGCTCCACACTGAGATATACTGTAGTAAATTTATCAATTTTAAGGTTATAAAAAGAGTTCTTGCATCCAGGTAGAAAACATAAATCATTACAAGGGGAAAATAATCAGGCTGGCCCTAAAATTCATAGTAATAGCAACAATTCAATAAGCCAAGGGGCCATTTACATTTAAAGGCAATAGACATTTGAAACAAAAGAACTCAGGAAAGTAGGCATCTATGAGCCATTCTTGAAAAAAAATGATGATGAAGTCCAAGGTACCCAGATGAATGAAGTACTGAATCTTTTAAATATAGAACTGATTCTAAATAACTGTACAAATTATGATTGTAGAACAAAAAGAGTAATGATGTAACTAACAACAATAGGAATATGGGAAGGGATAAGAAAAGGGGGGAAAGCATGAGAGCACTAATATCTCTACCTTTCAGAGCAAAGAAATCAATCCACCTGTCTAAAATCTGTTAGAGGATCTTTTAGGAAAAAACATTTCTTATGGGTAAAGAAATATTTATTTGAGATTTCATCATTTCTAGTTTCATTTCAGTTTTTCTCCTCTCTTAAGAAAGTACAGATTATTGAAAGTTCAAACAGCAAGATAACCCCTTAAATGCAATTTAAACCAGCAAGAATGGGGGTGCCTGGGAGGCTCAGGTGGTTAAGTGTTTGCCTTCAGCTCAAGTCCCAGGGTCCTGGATCGTGTCCCACATCGGGCTCCTTGCTCAGCAGGGGGTCTGCTTTTCCCTCTCCCTCTGCCCCTCCCCCAGCTTGTGCACGTGCTCTTGCTCACTCTCACTCTAATAAATAAAATCTTTAAAAGGAATAAACTAGCACCAATGAAAAAATAAATTAATAATAATAAATAAGCTAGCAACAATGATAAAATTTTTCTTTTGGCAAAAGATTTTCTATAATTCTTTTGGCTATAATATTTTAATCTTCTGCTTATAAAAACAGCTTGATTTAGATTATTGCATCAAAACAATAGTAATAATAAACAGGCAAGCAAATTGTGGTATATACATACAATGAAGTATTATTCAGCCATAAAAAAGTAATTAAATCATATAGACCAATGGAATAGAATGGAGGGCTCAGAAATAAACCTGCACATAGTCAGCTGATTTTTGACAAGGGTGCCAAAACCATTCAAGGACAGTTTTTTCAACAAATGGTGCTGGGAAAACAGGGTATCTGCATGGAAAAGAAAAAAGTTGGTCTGTACATTATACCATATACAAAAATTAACTCAAAATGGATCAAGGAATTAAATGTAAGAGCCAAAACTATAAAACCCTTAGAAGAAAACATTGGGGGAAATCTGTATGATACTGGACTGGGCAACAATTTCATGGCTATGACACCAAAAGCAAAAGCAACATAAGAAAAAATAGATAAATTGGACTTCATCAAAATTACAAACTTTTGTGCATCTAAGGATACTGTCAAGGGGCACCTGGGTGGCTCAGTTGGTTAAGCATCCAACTCTTGATTTTGGCTCAGGGAATGATCTCAGGGTTGTGAGACTGTGCCCCATGTCAAGCTCTGCACTGGCCTGGAGCCTGCTTAAGACTCTTTCTCCCTCTGCCCAACCCACCACTTGCTCATGTGAGCACTTATCTCTCTCAAAAAAAGAAAAAAAAAAAGATACTGTCAAGAAAACAAAAGACTACCTAAGAATGGAAGAAAGTATTTGTAAATGATGTATCTGATAAGGGTTTAATATCCAGAAAATATAAAGAACACATACAACTCAACATCAAAAAACCAAACATCCCAATTCAAAATTGGGCAAAACACTTGAATAAGCATTTTTCCAAAGATAAGCACATGAAAAAATGCTCAATGTCATTAGTCATTAGGGAAACCATAATGAGATACCTAATTCACACTCACTAGGAGAGCTATTATTAAAAAAACTCAAAAAATATAAAACAAAAAAACAAATATTGGTGAAGATGTGGAGAAACTGAAATATTTTGTTGACAAATTGCTGTTGGGAATGTAAATGGTGCAGCTGATACGGACAACAGTTTGGTGGTTCCTCAAAAAGTTAAACATAAAATTATCAAGGATGTGGAGAAAAGAGAACCCTCTTGCACTGTTAGTGGGGATGCAAACTGGTGCAGCCACCCTGAAAACCATATGGAGGTTCCTCAGAAAGTTAAAAATAGAACTACCGTATGATGCAGGGTATTTGCACTTCTGAGTCTTTACCCCAAAAATACAAGAACACTAATTCAAAGGCATATATGCACCCCGATGTTTAGAGCAGCACTATCTACAATAACCAAATTGTGAAAACGGCCCAAGTGTCCATCAACTGATGAATGGATGAAGAAAATGTGGTATATATACATATATACAATGCAGTATTATTACTCAGCCATAAAAAAAGAATGAAATGTTGCCATTTGCAATGACATGGATGGAGCTAGAGAGTATAGTGCTAAGCAAAATAAGTCGGTCAGAAAAAGATAAATACCATAGGATTTCACTCATATGTGGAATTTAAGAAACAAGACAAGCAAAGGGAAAAAAGAGTGGGGGAGGGAACCAAGAAACAGACTCTTAACTACTGAGAACAAACTGATGGCTACTAGAGAGGAGTTTGGTAGGGGGATGAGTTAAATAGGTAATGGGGATTAAGGAGAGCACGTGTTGTGAGAAGCACCCGGTGTTGTATGGAAGTACTGAGTTATTATATTGTACACCTGAATTTTAACAAACTGGAATTTGAATAAAAACTTAAAAACAAAAAAGAGAATGGATTAAAAAAACCCATAAAAGCATTATATAACCCAGTAGTAGCACTTCTGGGTGTATAACCAAAAGAACTGAAAGCAAAGACTTGAACAGGTATTTGTATACCAATGTTCATAGCACCATTATTCACAATAGCTGAAAGATAGAAACAACCCAAATATCCATCCATAGATGAGTGGATAAATAAAATGGGGTATTACACACAATGGAATGTTATTTGGCTTTAACAAGGAATGAAATTCTGACACATACTACAACATGGATGAACCCTGAATGTATTATGCTAAGTAAATAAGCCAAACACAAAAGGACAAATATTGTAGGATTCTACTTATATAAAGCACTTAGAGTAGGCAAATTCATAGAGGAAGAAAGTAGAACAGAGGTTATCAGCTCAGGAAAAAAGCATATTAAACAACGGATACAAAGTTTCTGTTGGGATAATGAAAAAGTTCTAGAAATGAGTAGGGTGATAGCTGCACTACATTATGAATGTACTTTTAAAAAAACGTAATATAGCACTGACATATGCCACAGTGTGGATGAACCTCAAAAACACTGTGCTAAGTGACAGAAGCCAGGCACAAAAGGTCAATATTGTATAGATTCCAAGTTGTATGATATGAAAGTTGTAAACTGTATGATATAAAATCTCCTGAACAGATAAATCTATACAGACTGAAAACAAACTGGTGGTGGCCAGGGCTGGAGGAAGGAGGGAATGGAGAATAACCGCTCAACAGGTATGGAATTTTATTTTGGGGTGATAAAAATGTTTTGAAACTAGAGAGGGGTCGTTACACAGTACTGTGAATGTACTAAATGCCACTGACTTATTCACTTTAAAATGGTTAATTTTATGGTGAATTAGTTACCTCAACTTAAAAATATATTAATAATTAATTGAAAAAATTCTTTTAAATGTGAAGTAGTACCCTACAACAGCTCTACAATAGGGGACAGGGATAATAGAGACATTATAGAGTTTTTTAAATTTTGGAGCAAAAGCAATGTATTTACTACCCATTACTAAAGTACATGGGGGAAATATTCATTTTATAAAAAGGCATTTAAATTAATTTAAATTATCTTTAAGAGGGGTACTTTCTAAACAATTCCAGTTAAAATTATTTTAGGGCATAGAGTAGTTCTAATATTTTCATTTTCTATCAATCTACATAGTGTATAATCAATAAATGATAATTCTTTATGAATTTAGCAGTAGTACCATTAAGCAAAGCCGATCAAAAAGAGTTTGTTCCAATCCATTTTCATGAGCTGCATCAGAACCCTGAATAGTAGGAGGAAGCTGTTTGGGATCTCCAACAAGAATCAGCTTTTCACACTCAAACCTAAAAACAGAATTCCAAAAGTTAATCTAAGCAACAACAACAAAAAGCATGCATTCACATCACTTGTTGCACTGTTTTGTTTTTTAAAATTTATTTATTTGAGAGAGAAAGAGAGAAAAAGCAGGGGTGGAGGAGCAGAGGGAGAGAGTGAGAGAAACTTAAGCAGACTCCTCGCTGAGCCCGGAGCCCAATGGGGCTCAACGGGGCTCGACGGGGCTTGATCTCATGACCCTGAAATCATGACCCTGAGCCTAAACCAAGAGTCAGAGGATTAACAAACTGTGCCACCCAGGCACCCCTTATTGCACTATTTTCTAGCATGTATTTCAAAGAACTGGAATACCACAGAGTTCTGGGAACTAGGGCACCTAGCTGGCTCAGTCAGTAGAGCATGCGATTCTTGATCTCTGGGCTGTGAGTTCAAGTCCCACACTGGGTACAGAGATTACTTGAAAATAAAAAATCTTAAAAAAAAAGTTCTGGTAACTAACAAGGCTTAATAATGTTAATAAATGTATTAAAGGGATTTGAAGTTATTCAGTAAAAAATCCTTTACAACTTTTTTCCACATAAAATTTGCTAAATGTCTACCTGCCTCTGCATGGAATTAGCATTTTGCAGAACACATTTTGAGAAACAATGACTTTTAAATTTTGTAAACTCAGAGGCTTTCTTAGAAGTCATTTGGCTTAGGGCGCCTGGGTGGCTCAGTTGGTTAAGCGACTGCCTTCGACTCAGGTCATGATCCCGGAGTTCCGGGATCGAGTCCCACATCGGGCTCCCTGCTCGGCGGGGAGTCTGCTTCTCCCTCTAACCCTTCCCCCTCTTGCGCTCTCTCTCTCACTCTCTCTCTCTCTAATAAATAAATTAAAAAAAAAAAAAAGAAGTCATTTGGCTTAAACTCTTATTTTAGAGGTGAAGTAAATTAGGCTCCTGGGGGCTAAATGTCTTTCTAAATAGAGGTACGATATCATGGGAAAATGTCCAGTTTTTGTAGAAAAATCTATAGTGGAACCTTTAATCTAGTTGAGAAATCTGCAAGGTCCTAGGAGAATCCTAGCACTAGAGTTATCAAGGCTTTAAAAATTATGTAATCTGGGGTGCCTGGGTGGCTCAGTCAGAAAAGTGTCTGACTCTTGATTTCGGCTCAGGTCCTCATCTCGGGGTCCTGGGATCAAGCCCTGTGTGGGTCTCCGTGCTCAACGGGGAGTCTGCTCTCTTCCTCTCCTTCCCCTACCCCCCCTTGTGTTCTCTCTCTCTCAAATAATCTTTAAAAAAAATTATGTGATCTATCACCAGGGAAATACAAATCAAAACTATAATGAGATACCACCTCATACTCGTTAGAATGGCTAAAATCAACACAAGAAACAACTGGATTGGTGAGGATGTGGAGAAAGAAGAACCCTCATGCACTGTTTGTGGGAATGCAAACTAGTACAGCCACTGTGGAAAACAGTATGGAGGCTCCTCAAAAAATCAAAAATAGAACTACCCTACGATCTAGCAATTGCACTACTGGTTATTCACCCAAAGAATGCAAAAACACTAATTCAAAAGGGGGGGAAATCGGAGGGGGAGATGAACCATGAGAGACTATGGACTCTGAGAAACAAACTGAGGGTTCCAGA